TAAGAGGAATATTTTAAATAGCTTGCGTTGTAAACGAGGAAAAGAAATGTTGTAAAGAAAAGGGGGAGAAAATTACAAACACACTGGTAATCGTAACATTACACTCAACGTTGGGTTATTTTCTGGCATTCATACCTTTATATATCAACAAAAAGATCCACCTCGTATAATTGTAATCATTAATAGTATTTGTAGGTACTTAGTTGTAAAATGACAGTTTATTATTATTACGAAATACCTATATACAATGACGAATGTAACATCCTTCGGGGTCAACGAAATACTCCTAATCTTTCGTTCTCGTTACTACCGATTTTTATATACATCCCTATGTATTTGCAAATCTTGCTCGCGTTATACAACGTAAAATTCAGCGCCTTCGTTATTCTAGTAATTCACAGAAAAACTGTATTTGTCTATAAAATGAGGTGTAATGGAAAGCATTTATTTACACTGCAGCCTCACTTCATTTTATAATTTCGTCTTTGTTAACCACACTCCAACAATGACTGACGTGTTCGGCCAGCTCAACCATTTTACTATGCGCCGTGCTTTTATATTAAAGTTTTTAAATAACTCGTTTAAAAATATTATGTCAACCTATACTCTTAATATATCTGCTTTTTTTTATCAGTAATAACATGCTTAGCCGGTTTACGACGATTTCCAAAAGAGATAATAATTTTCACTGATAATAAAGTAAAATAATATTTTACATTATCATAATTGTACATTCGCTTGATATTTCACTAAACCACAAGACTACTGTTCCTTCATAAATTATTAGATACACCTAATGCACTAGTGGCAAAAAGAGTTCTTGTACCATGTATGTGGACCACTCTAGCCCTGAAAGGTAGCTTCATTGGAGCTATGCACAGAGTCTTCAAATAGTAGTAGTTCACTGCACTCGCAGTTTGTGCACTGACACTGTGAGAGAGACAAAAAACATTTGACTATTCCTGACGCAGGTCCTCTCGGATTAATTCTTCTCATTACGAAATTGTCTGCAATATATTGATATTGCTACTGCCTTCTTCTTCCTCGTCCTCTTCCTCCTGGAATATTAAAATTTAATATAATCGTCAGGGTAGATCATTAAGTATTCCTCTTCGAAAGTGACGAAATGTTGAATTACCTCGTCAAACCCGAAACAGGTTTCCATTTCTTTTTGTAACTTTGGATCGCTTTGCGTGTTTTGAGACGAAGCTTTCGAAGACGTCCCCGAATCCATTTTTAAATCATCCATTTCCGTGTCGTCCTCTTCCACTTCATCTGCATCTTCCCCTGTACCAGTTACAATGCCGCTTTCCTGACTCAAAGGATCTTGCATTACCAAGTCTCCATCTTCGCTCGCTACCACAGCCATCTGTGAACAACGCCAAAATTATTATACACGCATCTCTATATAATAACACTTGGATTTCAAACTGTAGTGTTGTAAAATACACACTTGATCGGTCCCCTGATTATCGGCTAGTTGAATCACTTCCAGCACCACATATTGTTGACCATCACTTCCTTCAACTGCCATCATATCTTCTTCATCTTCCTCCTCCTCTTCATAACCTTTAAGTTTAGAAGTTAAATCACCTGTTACCATAACATAACACATGGATGTTAGTCAATGACCTGAAGACAGATCATATCGTAAGTGTCCTTGTGACAACGATTTTCTACCGTTATTCATCGTATATGTGTCAATAATTTACTTTGTTCACGACAGTTTAGAGGCAGTACTCATTATCGATTATACACATATAAGTGAATGAAGCGAGATCTATTAATTTCTAATTTGAGTCTAACCTGTCATAACTTCGACCCTTTGTCCATCAATGATCTGAATCTTTTTCTGTCTGCCCATCTTCAACGCTTGTTGCTTCTCTTGAAGGGACGATTCTGGGTCGTGAACAGCCATGTGCCGAATAAGATTTCCTTTATGCCTAAAGTATTAGCTTTGTTACGTAACTTGTTTTTCTTTTTATTTAATATGAACGTCTTATACATACCTGAACGGCCGTTCACATTCGGGACATTGATGAGTTTTCTCTTGTGGCGGTGGCGGAACGTAAGTAGGATTATGGTAAAGGTTGCAATGCCGCTTGAGTAGTTGCTTTTGTCTAAATGATTGAAAACAATGGTCACACTGATAAGGTTTCTGATCCGTATGTATCAACATGTGACTTTCAAGATGTCGCGCAGATATTGATGCATATGGACATAAATCACATTTGTAGCACTTTTCTCCTTCATGAGTTTTACTGTGCAGTTTATAGCTATATCTATAAAATCAAAAGATATAATGTGCCTCATCTTTTCTAAATAAAATAATATGGATGTTTTCATGGGATAAAACATCTTTTGCATATACTCACCTGTCTGGGAATGTTTTTCCACAGCGTTTACATTTCAAAGGTTTGTCTGAGGTATGTAATTTTTGTACATGAATCCTGAGATCTGTTTTTCTGCCACATGTCGTTGGGCACAGTTCACATTGAAATACTGGTTTGTCACCGACTGTAATACACGACATTATTATGAACAATAAGGGAATTTTCAAGAATATTATATGTTAGGGTAGTTATACATATATGTACTTGAAATTTCAACATACCATTGTGTATAAGTTTGTGAGCTTTTAAACTATTAGACTGTGTAAACCTTGCTTGGCAAAAATCACACTCATATGGCTTTTCTCCAGTGTGTATTCGTAAATGTCGTTTGAGCTTAAATGTATCAGGGCTGGCATATGTACAATGCGGACACTAAAATACAGGTATAGAATGAATTATATATAGATGATAATGGTAACTATGTGTAACGAATCAGTGTAACTAAATGGGATAAGTGTTGGATAAAGTAATAGCCTAATGTACCTGATATGGACGCTCCCCTGTGTGACATCTAATATGACGCTTCAATTTGGACAGTTCAACAGATGCATAATCACATTCATGACATTTATGGGGTTTTTCATGTGTATGCCTATATCGAACATGTCTAACAAGTTCACCTAAAAGTAAACACTAATAATAATCACTATGCTTTCATATTAAGATGTTTTCCACTAACAAATTAACGAGATTCATTCATAAAAGTGAAGCATATGACCAAAGTATAAAACATCCATTAAATTTCTAACTCACCGGAAGTTGTGAATGCACTGTCACAAAATTTACAATGATGAGGTTTGGTCCCAGTATGTGTATTAACATGATTCTGTAGTGAAGCTAATGTTTTAAACCCTCTTTCACAAACACTACATTTATGCGGTCTCTCTTCTGAATGTGACTTCATATGTCTTGACAGTAGGTACCTGGATAGCAATGCAAGTTTTTTCTTACTGAACAGAACGAACAAATCATTAAACAAAAAGAATAACAAAATTTATGATAGCATACCGCTTTGGACTTGTGTAATTACAATAATTACACATATGAGCTTGAGTAACTGTTTGCGATTTCTTAGGTAGGAACTTAATAATTTTGGTTTTATCATCCTCTGCTTCTGACTCCACAGGAGCTTCATTATCTTCATTGTCTTCAAAGTCGTACACAGTAAGGTCTTGTTCACCCTCCCCTTCTTCACCTTCTGTTCCCTCTCTTTCAGCAGGTCGACTTTCTTTGTCTTCAGCATCCGGTTGTTGAACAATTAACACATAACTGACTTCTCCAGGATTAGTATCAGATGGTACAATTGTAACTGTTTGATATGCATCACCAGAATTGATGACAACTTGATTGTTTCCATTAGTAGCCACCTGTCCCTGTGGATTAATCAAATACTTTTTTTAGAGAAAGATACAAGTAACTAACACTTAATAAATTCTTCTAACATACATCTTCATCTCCATCAACATTTTCAAGTTCCTCGATTTCTTGGTACTGTTCTTCCTGAGAACCGTCTCCTTCAGTTTGTACATCAGCTTCCTCTACTTCTTGGATCTGCACCTGTGTCATCACAGGTGTTTCATCACTATTCGCCTGATAGTAATATTGACCTGATTGATCAACAAAATAAGTTCCTCCTTCTTCGCCACCTGACAACCCTTCCACTTGTTGCACTACAATATCATATGTTAATAGTGATTGTATTTTCATACAGACATATAAAGAAGGTCGTGAATTGAATATAAAAGACTAACATTGTACATGCTGCAATTGCTCCCCTTGACCACCTTCTATTTCTTTATTAAATGTCTCCAAGTAAGTTTGTATCTCTGTCACAGATTCTTGCCCCTCTTCTAACTTAATTGTTGCTACGTTACTCGTCATGGTAAGATCATTAAATCATGCAACTATACTTTCTCTCATTAGTCTGAAACAATATCAATTACATCTTTTATTTTATAGTACCAATAAGTCAATTACAATATAAACCATGTAAGTTATTGTTTCAAAATAATCCAACAGTTCAAATAAGGGTTCATTGTATGTCATCGAATTAACATCTAATGGAAATCAAATAGTACAAACAAACTGCACATTTTATTCATAAAAGAATACATACTTGAACTTTATATCATAATATCAACATATACTAAAATTGTAATGAGAATGAAAAGTATTGTGCTCAGAAAGACAGGCTTTATATATATTCTTTAACAATTAATACTGAACCAACTAAAAAATTGTCATACATAAACAAGCTATGTACAACTTAAACCATCAATGCAATAAATTCAAGGATATACATAAATGTCCTCAAATGAATGCAGTTGTTCATATAGTTCCAAAATCATAAGAAAAATCAAACATAAGCTCCAAGCATGGTATGCAGCTATGTACGGTAAGGGTATCGATAGAATGCGCAAGTGTGATCGGTATTGCAATCAAGTAACATACAAAACACGTGCATGTATACAAGTAACACGAGCTTCACTGGATTACCACCGAAATAAAGGCGGTAATACACGAGGCATCGTGACTGTGTAGAAAATACGGCTAAAATCAATATCTAGGTGAAGAAATTGAAGGTACGAAAGAATGGACGGGCGCATTCACGGAAGGCTGAACGGAAAAATTGGAGTCTGACCACGCATTGGCAATCACCGAAATTCAGCATATCAGATGTGTCATTAGCGTTCTGAGAACGAAACAGGATTGACAGAAGCGACACACGCCGCCGCGGAACGCCATGTAACACGCGAAGCGGGTAATGCGAACGAGGATGACGCCATGGGCAAAATGTGCGATCGCAGCGTGATGGGCGAAGGAGCGCGTGGAAATACGTAGCGGTCCACCAGGTTTTTCGCAACCGCTAACAGGAGTCTCGTCGGACACCAGGGTCCCCGAAGTTGCGCATTCTGTCGGAAAGCTTTTAAGACAACGCGGGTGCTTTCGATTTCAGGACACAGGGGGCATTAACGACAAAAATTTCAGAAAATTATCACCGTCGGCGCTGTCATCAATATGGAGGACGCGACGGAAGGGAATACTGTCCGTTCTGCTACGTGCTTCGGATAACTCACCGATGTTCCGCGTTTTGCTCGCGACCAGTGGCCACAGGTTTCCTCGATTACTACTGAAAATTGTCTTTCTTCACAGGGAAATGTATTTCCACGTTGTGCCAGGCTCGCACACCACACGAAACCTCGAAATATTCTCTTACCTCGTAAACTCACGATCGTTCGTGTGAGGGCGTTGTGTAAGACCCGGAGGGCAATATGGCCGATCGAACTGCGAACGTTCAAATGCTGCGCGTTGGTAGCTGCGCAATGGTACGCGTCACTCGTCGTGTTTACACCGGACGACCGTCGTTTTAGGTACTTCCGGGCGTTAAATCTTCCGTGACCTTACCTAGCTGATCCACCGTTTCCTCCTTTTCACATTTATTCACTTTTCGTATTAAAAACAAAAAATATCGGTACACGCGTTGCTATTTCATTGGTTTATTATGATAATGTCAATTACGATAGGTAACGTCGATCAGATATATTTGTTGTATACACGTCTGATCAGATATGGACGGGGCGAGATAAAAAAATGACGCCATGAGAAAAGAGCGGGAAATTTTTAGGCTGGAGAAGGGGAAGGAATAAAAAATGTTGGTGGGGAAACCACTGCCCAGTTAATAGAGATATCGTACTTTTTTCCCGAAAGATTGCAAATATATATATATATATATATTTGTAATGAAAGTATAATCGGAACTGGCATCACAGATGAGATAAGTCGTCCGTGATTGTACGTTCAGTTTATCCTACGCCCCGCCTCTGTTGGCATAACCAATAATTTTTTATTATCATCAGATTTTTAGAAATAATTGGAAAACGATTACTATTACAAGATATATTGATGATTTGTGCGATTCGTGTCATATGATTCGTAAGCATAAATTTTTTAATTAAAATATACGACATTCATGTGTTTCGCGATTCCAATGAATACGTGATTTCAGATGAAATTAACGTAAAGAAAAATAGAGTATATGAATTTTGGAAAATTTAACACTATCAGGTGTAAAATATTTCAAACTATTCTTAAATCTTATGTGAAATAAATAGCATAGTTATAAACAAGCAAATAAATAATAAATAATTCTCTTTAAGTATTAGTATATTAAATATAGATTTTATTATAGTAACACAATTTATAAAAACATTACTAAGAAAGCATGAACACATATTTAAGTATTAATTATAGTATATAGATTTAGTGAAAGTTTTTGTTCTATCTTAGTATGAATTTTGCATTAGCCACATTGATGTTTATTATTCTATATCAGTGTAATGTAGAAACATACTTTCTAGTTAGAACATATAAATAACGTTGTGTATTATATGTAACACTTTTAATAACAATACAATGAGCATGTAGTATGAATAACTGGAGACAAATAAAATTCAGAAATCTTCGTAATTAAACAACAAAGTATAAGATGATTTATATTGAATACGAATAGCATCTAAAAACATGTGTAAAACGTTATAAAAATACTTCTATTTAGTTATATATTTTTATAATAATAATAATAATAATAATAATACATCTTCCTTCCTGATAAATATATTTACATAAGAATTCCTTAAATAACAGTAACTTATTGTTCTTGTATTAGTAATAATGGAATCAAATAAATTTCACATAATTTGATAACAAAAATATTTAAAAACTCAGGAACTAGAAGAACTAAAAATGGAGAAAATGGTAATCAATATAACGAATTACGCAATAAACATAAATATGAAACAATAGAAAGTTTTACTACATATGTAAAGAAATCGGATAGATATTTAATTGAAAACCTATATGCCATGGGGAATATGACAGGCATCTTGATCCATAGAATTTTTAATATCAATCCTTAAAATGTAAACAACCAGTATAGCCGTTATAATTGTCACTATTATAGAAAACAATAGTGAATATTTCAAAAAAGTCACATCACTTTGAAGTTTTATATTACTTTCTTTCAATTGTGCTACCTGCAATTTGTCAATCCAATTACTAGAAATATTCTTCTTTCTTTATCATGGTACTATACTACTTTTTACTTACTTTATGAAACAGTGTGTCCGTTGTTCTACTATTTTCTGACATTCCAGATGACAATATGGAATGAGATTTTTGTATATCATTACTATCGGCATCTCCATCGCAACATCGCAATCTATGTTGTTCTGGTGACGGTTCACTCTGTGAAAAAATAAATTGATAATTACATTTCCATCATTATGTGTTTTATTAAATATAATAATAGTGTTATTACTACCTTCCAAAGTGCAGCTATTTCTTGAGCAGGTGTGTTTGCATCTTTCAATGGGAGGCACATAACTAAAAATCTATCATTGTGTAAAAGGCCTCGCAAATTATATCCAGGTTGTAAAACAACAGATACAATGCGGGTTGTTTGAGGTAATATAACTCCTGAACTTGGTCGTACTCTGAATTTTTCGGGTGACGTGATTTTCACCTGTAATAATCATGTGAAATTGTTAACATTGTTTGATTTATATTGAAAAACACAGAATTATCCAATACCTTGTAAAATAAAGGTCTATCAGAAGTTGTATTTCTGAGTGTAATTGTTCCAGCTGTTTCATTTCCCGTTTTATTAAATGTAATTGTTTTTGGTTCAACAGACAACACTGTAATGTACCATGTATTAGGAAAATCAGAACATAAATACATGTTTAAAACTGTATTACTCACATTCCTCTTTGCTTCCTCGATCTTCAAAACTAGTTGGAGATTGTTCTGTTATTGGAGAACCTTCTGCAAAATGTACCTAAAAATTCCAAAATATTGTAAGATTAAAGTTAATTTATAAATTGAAACAACTTCTTAAGAATGCTATATTTTATTTATATACCTTTTTGTTATCAACTTTACCATTCATTGTAGTATCTATATTACTTTGTGCTTCTGATACAAACTTAAAGGTATAGTCATTGCTGCCACCCCAAGAAATGAGTATGTCATTAGGGTCCACAAATTCTTGTATGTTACTCCTTTGAATAAGCTTAATTTTTGGAATCGCTTTAGGCGGCAACCATGATTTTATAATTTTAAAAGTAGTGTTCAACATCCATGGCATTTCAAATATGATAATGTAATTTAAAAAATTTGGATAATAATTTTTACAAAGACTGATTAAATATTCAATGAACCTTGTATCTACTAAATTTGAAATACCAGTATCTATCATATCAAAGAAAAGTGATATTTGGTTGCCATTAGTGTATCTAAAATAATAGAATACATGAATGGCATGAACATTTCTCACATACATTAATATTTCTCATTAATTTTACATTACCTTTCTAATCTTTCAAACCAATACACTACAACCTTTTGTAAGTCTTCAAAGTCTTTACTTTTCTTAGTATACAATTTATATTTAATCACAAACATTGATTTACCATCTTTATCTTTACCATGAATAAAGCATAATCCATCTTCTAAATAATCTTTTCTTACCGTATCTTCTGTAATGTCTACAATGAGATAAGTACTGATATTTAATATCAAATTATTATCAATGTTAATGTGCAAACAAAATCATTAATCCTTATTCACTGAATATTTACCATTTGTTCCAAATTTTTTTCTCCAAACGCAAGTGTCCCATAACATATTAAGCGCATCGTCTACATTCTGTTCGGTATGCTCTAAAAATCGTCTTAACCAGTTCTTATTCTCTTTAATTCTAGCAATGTCTGCAGGATGAAATCCCACTGAAATTTTATTTCATAAAAAGATTCATGTATTGTCATAAACATATTGTATGATTTATTATTCATTAGAAAGTAACTGTGAAACATAGGGAAATATGCAAACAGTTATAATAGTCTAATTAGACTTTTTATTAAACATACAAGGTAACAAAAAAGAAGGAATTGACCTTGGCTCTTGACACTAGGATCGGATCGCACTTTTGTACTTTGAGCATGCTACAGGCAAGAGAAGATTTATTTTATGGAATGAAAATAAATATACAAACTGGGATCTGACGGCCCCTCATCCTCCAATTTTTTAAAGAACTTTTCACTGAGTTCTGATATTAATTCTGACCGTACTTCCATCGTCGATTAACCAGCTACTAGAAAAGAAGCTTTGACCGGTGGTGAACTATACAATGTGTCAGCCAAACGATAATTGTTTATCCAGACACCAGATCTGCGCGCAGAGTGGCGCGCATGCTAGTCGGACTTTAGATTATATTAATTTCATTCATGTATTTCCTTTCCCCCTTGTATGTTGAACATGCTTTTTATATAGATGCACGAGATGCACAGTTATGTATTGCAGTTTTTCAACGTGTCTCAAAAGGTGCTACGTAATTTGTATTGCAAAATACCTGGCAGAAGTGATGAGATTAAATTAAATATGTACTCATAAATATTGCTGATGTCAGTATTTAACTTAATGGAACGAATTCATTAACTTGCGTAAAAATGAATAATTCATTTTATCCACGTGTAAAATAATTTTCATTATGTAACCCATTTTAGAAGTCATGACAAGAGTATATAAGGTACAAAACTGTACTTCGAAGTTGATGAAATTGAATATTTTGTTACTAACACACTGGAATCTTATAGAATTTGCACAGTGTATACACATGAATTATTTTCGACGAATGTTATTTCTCATTTCCAGAGTATTCATTGATAGTTGAAAAATATGCAGTTAAATTCCGATATATTTAATATCAATCGTCACCCAATAAGAGTCTATAAATTATTCCTCTCCAATGAGTTTAGTTATCAATTCATTATCCATGTTTATTTAAGCTGAATTTTCACGTGCAGTGATAGTAAAAAGTACAACACTGATATTCGCTAAAGAAAATAGATTATGTTCAGTAAGAAAATTTATCAATAATACGTTAACGATGCATAGTAAATTATTATAATTGTTTCACTTGCAATAATCATTTAAATGAATTTTAGAAATGGAACTTGTATTTTGAAGATTTAGTTTATAAAAATACTAATTTATAGGTAATAGACTATACAGAAAAAATAATATGTACACTATACAATTTGGGAAATGATGAGGAATCTAGGAAAATTTATAATTCTATTTCATTATCATTGGTAAAATTCATGTTTTAAAATTTATCATAAAATTAACTGCATTTAAAGTTTAATTTCTATAGCTTTGTTAATTGTGATGGTGATATATTCACCTTCCAATAAATATTTGCTAAATAAAAAACAACTTACGAATAATGAGAATAAAAATCTGATATTATTGCATCAATTATATAGAAGAATAGGAAGGGTGTATGCATAAACGAACTAATCTTTTCCAATATACGTGCACACCAAGGCACACTGTATACGATATATAATATACTTATGCGGGCATTAAAATATACAACTAGTTTCATATCGTATGACAATATGTATATGTATATACAATATTTGACATGTCAAATAATTCACAAATAGTTTTGCTTTTCTCCCGCTCTCGCGCACGCGCTCTCTTTCTCTCCCTCTCTCTCTCTCCCTTTTACACATATATCTTTCTTGTCAACAAATAACAAAGGCTTGAAATATGAAAATTTTAATTTACACAAAACAAAATCCTCGAAATACACGTGGTTGACTATTATGTACTTTTTTAACAAGATTTTTACAGTCAACCCATGTTAACATAGAATTGTACAAAAAATTGGGTATTCTCTCTTTTATCGACATCGCTTCCATCTTGATAGTAATGTACATACTACCCAGATAGAAGATTATATTTCATTATAATTTATTACTGTTTTTAGTATCATTATAATAGATCTTGATACTTGTGTCTGTATGTGTGTGGGCGCGCGTGTGTATGTGTGTGTGTGCGCGGTGTGTGTATAACCCAGCCTGTAACTACTGTTATCATTAAAAATCATATATATGCATATATATATTCACACACATATTGTAATATGTATGTATATATCTATAAATACATGTGGGGCTATCCCATTTTTAATCTATCATAGTCCACTCTTATATTAATAAAGGCATGCTAAAATTGAGCAGGCATACTAAGGCATACATTCCTTAGAATGATGTATATCAAGAATCGTCAAGTTTGCATACAAATTCTATTAGAAAAGTAATTGGTATATATATATGTGTATATATATACTTCAATAATTTGTATATACAATTATATCAAACTTTGAAATAAAACTATTGATATTATATTACTGCATGCTGTTCGTATATCTTAATGTACTGTAGTAATAATATTAGCCTCCAAATATTAACAAGTTTTTATGGAAAACATCACTCTTTGTTTTTCATAAATTATTTCAACAATAGTATGTTGCATGTAAAAGCATTCTTCCATTAAATGCCTTTATTATATTAATTGCAGACTAGGAGGATGGATTAAAATAGGGCAGCCATTGTGAGTATATGTATATTCATTTCAGATTTATAAAACTCTTACATGACGTTAAGTAGTCATACAAGAGGCTCCGAATTTCAAGAATAATCTAGTGGTTGAAGGCATCATTTGTATAACACAGAAATAAGTTTGTATAAAATATTCAGAACACTGTAACATTTAGATGCCATTCAAGAATGTACCACTGATTAATATTCGATTATTAAATTGTCCACTTATGAATATTCATTTTATGTGGTTGCATTATT